TTGTGGATCAAAAAGTATTTTCGAGTATCAATGCCAATTTCAATTTCATTAAAATTAAGCAAAAATCGAGCACTTTGCGTAGAGTATTGCATGGAAAAGTCAGCTAATTTTGTCAACTCAAACTTTGTAAATACTGTAAATATTAATAGCTAACATTAAGTAAGGTTTTAGTTTCATTTAACAAAAAAAATTATTACGTTGGAGACGATGTTGACAGTTTCAGGCCAGTGATTTACAGAAATCAAATATCATACTTATGGGACCATCAGGTGTCGGTAAGACTTATTTAACTCAGTTATTAGCTAAAGTACTAGATGTTCCTATAGCAATGTGTGATTGTACATCGCTAACACAAGCGGGTTACGTTGGAGACGATGTTGATACGGTTTGCTATTGCAACCTACAATAAGTAAAAATGAAACTACACTTAAGGCTTATTATTTCAAAAACATTGAATACTTATATTAGATTGTACATGAAACAATTCTGTGATCACTTATTCTAGTTTTCATATTTCACTTAATGTAATCAACTGTTTTATAGCTTAAGTTTGATCGCACTTAAGGATACGTGATTAGGATTCAGCATGATTGCATTCAAAGGTTATGCATAAGTGAAGTTAGTCGCTGAAATTATGCATAGTCATAGAACACTCCTGAATGAAAGTTGCTTTATAACTTCAAATACAATTTAGTAAATGTCTTGTTATAATACATTTGAATACACATGTAGAACATGTAGGTAAAATTTGCTCCGAAAGTTCACTTATTTCAAATTGATCTCAATTTCTTCATTTTAATACAAAAAGAGTTCAACATTTGAACATGCATTACAGTTCATTTTAGGTCATTCAGAAACTGCTTGCAAACGCAGATGGTGATATTCGCGCAGCACAGGTACATAAATCATCGCTTATTTTTGATGCATAAATTAATCTTATAGTTATTTATAGCAGTCTTGCCTTACTTACTTAAAAACGATTTCTCTAGATTATTTTTCACATTTATTAACCTAATTAAAGTTTTGATTTTCAATTCACCAATTTACTGAACACAAAACTTTGCAGAAAGGTATTGTCTTCTTAGATGAATTTGATAAAATTAGCAGTTCGTTAGACTTTGAAGCACGCTCCTTTCGTGATGTTGGTGGTCGTGGTGTTCAACAAGCATTTCTTAAATTAATCGAAGGAACCGTTGTGAAAGTTAAACCACCCGGATCTAATGGACCAAAAGTATAGTATTTTGTCTATTTTTTATCAATCATCTAACTCAGTCTAATTTTGCTCATAACACTGCATTATCTGATTATTAGAGAAAGTCTGATTATTTTACTTACCAGCAACTAATTTAAATTATAATTACAATTATTCAAATTTATTAAAAAAGCAAATTATTCAGAAAAATCAATAAGTCAAAAATAGTCCCACCATAATCGATGGGGATATAGCTCAGGGGTAGAGCGCTCCCTTAGCATGGGAGAGGGCTGGGGTTCGATTCCCTATATCTCCACGGCGCAGTTTTTTGCGCATGAATGACTAGAAAGTGATTAATAACTGTATAGTAGTACGTACGTCTTCTTCTACGGGCTTTTATAACTCTCAAAAATGACAGTTCCTTGAAGACAACATAATAAATCACCACTTCTGTTCAGTTTGATGAATATTACAGTCAGAAGTACTTTGTAGGTAGATGTCGATACTACTGATATATTATTCATAGCCTCCGGTGCATTTAACAGTTTAGATCGCATTATTTGCCAACGTCTAAGTAGAAAATTAATAGGATTTGGAGATAAACAGATGCATTCTGAAAGCGATTATTTGATTGAAAAGGTAATATATATGCTGGAGTTTTGACTATTTGTTCCAATAATGAACTGCTATTACTACTCTTACACAGTAAAGACTTGATTTCAATTGCTATCTGCTAATCTATTACAGGATGAAACGAAAATTATCAAGCAACGAGATAATTTACTGCAACAAGCCGACCACGTTGATTTTATCAAGTAAAAAAGAAATTGCAAACGATTTTTCAGTATTTTTAAAATAATGCTACCACAAACTTTGTCAGGTTTGGAATGGTACCCGAACTAATCGGACGCTTCCCTGTACTTGTTCCATTCTCTAGTTTAACTGAAGAATTACTTGTAAGAATATTGACAGAACCAAAAAATTCTATCATTTCCCAAGCTGAAAGACAATTTCTTCTGGATGACATACAACTGTGCTTTACCAATTGTGCACTCAAAGAAATTGCTCGTAATGCAGTACAGAAGAAGACTGGAGCGAGGGCACTTAGGTTCTTCTTTACTCAATAAATTCACAAAATACTGCACCTTTAAGCACATATTTTATTGTTTGGCTTTCTATTTTTCCAGCTCAAATGTCAGCAATAAATGCTAAGATGGCTGACATAAACTCAATTTTTGCCAGTACTGATTAATAATAATGCATTTATATACGAATAATGTTCATTTCTAATACTAGCTTTAATTTTAAGTGATTGCTTATATACCGTGAAGTAACTGTGATGAGCAAAATATATTGGCAAATATATTTGACGTATATGAATACATTGTTATAATTATTTCATCCTTATATTTCAAGTGTTGACAGCAAGAATCAATTATTGAAATTACTTCATTATTCAGGTCCATAATTGAAAGAGTACTGCTGGATGCAAAGTACGATTTACCTGGGACCGATATTCATAAACTCGTTATTGATGCAGAAGTTGTCAAAGGAAACTGCCGCTATTATACAATGGAAAAGGCCGATATAGTGAATTTTACAGCACCGAAACAATCAATAATTAAAATTAAGTAAGCTAAGTCAAATAATTTTTAAGAACATTTGCATGAACTTTTGGAATCGGCAAAAAAGTCTGGAGCTATCTAGAGTTAAAAAATAATTACAAACTTTGTTACATTCATAAATATTTGATGAAAATATAGTGAAGAAATATAATGGACAATGGAATGTAGCAGGATCAAAAACTGAGCTAATTTAACAATTAACTAATTAGTTTTTTGATATTTAAATAATAAAAATAAGAGCATGAAATGAGAATGTAACAAATCTGCTTGCATTATTGTCATTTATCACTGAAACTTCATACTTTTAGAACAGAAATGAAGAGAGATACCACAAACTTGAAGAAAACTAACATGATGTAACGCCACTTAGAAAGCATAATATGACAGAACGAATTATTAATTTTCATAGTTTATGTGGAATGCCTACTAATAAATTTGAATTTGCATAAAACGAGCTATGATTATAGAAGAACCAATATGAAAGAAAGCTACAATGAGATCATGTTAAATCATGAAAACTTTTTATCTTGAGACAGTACACACAAAACTGCTAAATCAATTAAACAAAAAAAAGAATTATAACAAGCAGTAAATTCAAATTTATTACATTAAAAAAAGAGAATTAAATGAAAACTATTTTTAAATAAAAGAGGAATCAAAAAATGACCGACATGCAGCAATATCCTTCACATTCTCGCATCAGATCAAAAACGGCATATTTGTACTTCCAATCACAACGTTCGCTGAATATCAATTCGTTTCCATGCAGAGTGAGAACATTATAAAAAGAAGAATAATTGATAATTATTAACTTCTTTCTTTTTAATTGCAGCCACCACAGAGACATTTCATCGAACTGAAAAACTGTTAAACCAATTTTCTCTGATTTATCTTAGTAAAGTGAATTTGCAGCGTAATATAGAACCATCTACCACGGGACCACGACTGATCCTGAGATTATTTTTTTTAAACACAATTTCAGATATTCTGAAAGCTAATCTTAAAAAAATCGTTTAAGCCGGACATACGAAAAATAAGTAGTATTCATAAAGAAAAAATGAAGGATATTGGAACTACTCAAAATCAATAAAATTCAAATACAGCAAGCACTTTTTATGATATCTTGTTTGAAAATTTTTTT